TTTTTCCCTGTGCTGGATATGTAAACTGGTTAAAAGCAAGCATGTTTTCATACACATTGTGTGCATACGGGTGTACGCTTATATATATATATGACTGGCGCGATGACGTTATTGATGGTGCGGCAGCATATGTGCATGCACGTTCACGCATATATGAAAGTTTACGCAATTAAATAAGTGCGAAAATGAAATTAAGTTATAAATACTTTGCTTAACATAAAAAAAAAAAAAAAAAACAAAAAGAACAAAGTATCCATCTGCATAAAATGAAAAAAATATATTTTTAAAAAATTTCTACATTTTATAAAAATACTTGCGGACTTGGAAAGTTTTTGAATAAATACACGCGTATGTGCGGGTGTGTATGCATTGGGGCGTGCGACCTTAATAATTACATTAATCTCCTTTGAACATTATGGGCACGCACTCCTAAACACCAACTTGCCCATATACAAACACACATAAGCACGGCAAGCAAACGGATACAAGCACGCACATGGATGCAGATAACCCCATTGCCTAACTGGATTAACGTTATTTTGTGACTCTAATTCCATTTGCAGCTGCACTTTGTTGTTGATGTGTCGGTTTTGCGGTTAATAATATTCACGACTTTAAACCATACCCTGTAGATGCATTCTTTAGCCTCTATAATCATATATATATATATATATATATATATATATAAACATATACAATATCCATAATATATATGTGTACGTCTATACGTGCATAAACAAAGGCAGTAACATAAATGCGAAAATTTATCATATTTACTAATTAATTTATTTGCTTATAAGAGAATACGATCTTATTTGATATCCGCCAGCCAGCAAGACCTAAATTCAAAATCGATATTTATCATCCATCCGCTTTCATACGAGTATTATAACAAAACAGCCAGGGCCAGAGCCAAAGACCACATGACTACTAACTGTGAGTGTGTGCTATGTGAAATCATTTTATTGCATCAGTAAAGCATAAAATTGCTTTACACACATATATTATATATAGATGGATGGATATGTGAATATATATATATATATATAAATTTAATGAATTTCAGTTTTCACATTAAAACTTTTACACGACCATCCATTACTAACTGTTTTACTACCTAAAATTGTACTTCCATCGTGTACGGCACCATGAAGACTGATAAAGAGTACAATGACAATAAAATAATTCCATGGATTTTAAACTAAATTTATGTTTACTTTTTCATTTATACCATTCAATGCATTTGAATCGAGATGAGCTAATTTGTAGCGATTTCAAGTTTATTAAATTATTGGTAATCTTTTCGCATTACATATGAAGGAAGATATGTAATTATTACAAATTTTAACTCCTTGCAAATAGAGTTTTTAATGGACAAACATTTTATTTCAATGTTTCAGGTATATATGTCTATCTGTATACATCAAGCATAATATTTCAATATTAAAGATCTAAAATTTTGGGAATCACTCTTCAATGTTTTTCAAAACTAGTATCATCAAAATGGACATTTTTGCTTCTCCGGCTTCTCTTCTTTAGCGTAGTTTAGGCTAGAGCATACTCTACAATTGTTTTTTTATTTTTCATTTTAACTTCACATATACCCTAGAAGCCAATTGGACCCATGGAGATCAATAGTTGCTGATGTAGAACCCCGATCAACTCCTTGATCTCGCCTTTTACAATTATTTTATTAATAACTTTGCATAATTTAAGCGACGGATTTTCAGCTCATTTCTTAATTTTTCCATCATTTGATGTAACATTCCAGAATTGATTCCGCATATTTCCAATCCCCGAAAAAAATAGCTTACGAAACCGGTTTAACGATTTCTGCCGATGTACATCGATCGGCGCAATCAACGCCTCGTTACTATGATAATAATAAGTTCACGATACACTTGCAATCACTTTTATTATCGTAAAAGTATTTCAGAATTTCATGCAACAACAATAATATTTTATTACTTTATATGCATATCATTTATGCAATGAAATGCTAAGGAAGAATACCGATACAACTTATATATGTGCATGAATATTAGTACTATGGAGAAGAAAATTGGGAATATACTGGATCATATAGACTTAGTGAGGATGGGTTCTCAAACGTTACTCGAATTAAGGTAAAGTTGTCTGGGGTGCGAAAAGTTAATGGATATCCTAGGAATTAAATGCATTGTGTAAAGGCACCCCCAACATATTACGACATTACGACGTGTTTTATTTGCTATCGTGCTTTTCGTTTTCCTGGTCCCACAACTGCCATTGCTGGTGACATTTTACAACAAAAGTTAACGAGGCTTTCAAATATATTTGTTTTGCATTCGCTAATTGGGCTCTGGATGCGCATGAACAAATTCATGACGTTTTAAGCAAAGTTATTTTAAGCGATGGGATTCGTATTAATTTGTAAGTAAAATTCTCGCGCAACTACACCTCCGAAAAGCCACGAAAATTAGTTCGATAACTTCTCTAACCACAACGAATGACAATTTGCGACTAACTGGTTTCCTAAGTGACTGGTGCAGCTTGGCTATGGTTTTTCGAATATGCTACGGTTCAAGGGAATTTACATAATTTAGGCAAAGTGTGCTTAGAGTTTATTTCGTGAAACAATGGCTGCATTGTATGATCGATTGTCAAAAATGAACACCTCTTCTTGAGACATCTTAGATTTCCTTGAATTGCTTTGCACCAATGGTGCGGCAAAATCTTGCTAGTTCAGAGCAATTAAAATTAGAGCATGTAATGCGATGAAAGCTTGCTAAAAGTATTATGGAACACCAACACTTGTAACTTGATGACTTGGTTAGGTGGAAAAAATTTCGCATTTGGAGTCTCAACGAATTCACGAGTGAGAGTAATAGAGAAACAAATGCATCTACAATGTGCCAATGTGCTTGGTGCCAATTTCCGGCTGAAGGCATCATCACATCAATCTTTTGTGAAAATTGAAAATGTCCTCTCAGGGCATTATAGTTAATGATGCTTGCTATCCGTGCTTAAATCGTAAGATACGTAAATACAGAAGATATGCGTTTTCGAGAAGACGATGCCACAGTCAATCATCAATATCCTGCTCTAATATTGCCACACCTTGTACATTGAGGATGCGGTTAAATTTAAAAATGAAAACAGCTTTATTCTCAAGTTTAGATTGAAAAAGAAGAAGAAGAAGAAAAAAAGAAAAAAAGAAGAAGAATGCTTTGCTGCATGCTTTGCTTTGCTGTCAACGAATTTCATTGACTTTAATATTGTATTTGTTGTACATTTGTAAGGCATCATAGGTTTGGTGTATCCAATTTTCAATTTCCTTTTTCTTTACGTTCACAAAAATCTTTAAATTTTTTACTTTCCTTAGATTGAGTTTGATTTCGCATATTTTCTTATCAAATTGTCAAGAAGAAGTGCGCAAATCAGCGTCAGTCGACAAAATATCCCCATGATTAAAGTACGAACAAGCAAAAGTCATATTCGTCTTGCACCACAACTTTTAGTCTACTCAACATTAACAAAATTTCTTCGTTTACTATATATATATATATATATATATATATATATTTATACATATATATACATGTATTTTCCTTATTCCTAAGACTAAGCCTAAGTTCAAATTGCCTGACTTTTCGGAGACACATTTGAAAAAGTTTTTAGAGATTGGAAATAGAAATCAACTCAGAGTAATATTGTGAACAGAATATTCCTAGATATAGAGCAAAGCTCTGGAAAGGTGGTGAAAATGCTTCATTGCTCATTGTACGTACTTTTCGACCGATATTTAAATACTTATTCTTAATCCGAAACGAGAGTAATAGAAAAGTGCTTTTGACAAACACTTATAAGCCAACGACTGTTGACGTTCACAGGATAGACTTGGAAAGGACTTTACCACGACTTTTCCTGGCATGATAAGTTCTGGAAAGATAATTTACTTTAAGGTAAATTAATTACCCCCCCTTCCGTCCGCCCCCCTCCCCAAGTCTACGCCTGTGGTTACGTAGTGCAACCCCATTCCTTAAATTGATCGACAGTTTTCCGAATGTCCGTAAACGTACTTTTGCCGAATTTTATATGCTTAAGAAGATAGATAAAAGAGAAGCAATAAAAATATAAATAAAATTTTATTTTCTATATCGTCGCTGCATAAATATTCACCTCGAGGATATAAGAAGCGCTGCGTACATTATTTCCCTTATCTATAGTTTGAATCTTCTTAACGTTGTCGATAAGGAAAACAGATACAGAAATAGAAATTGAAAAAATAAAAAAAGATCGAAAAACAAAAAAAAAAAAAAACAAAAAAAAAACAGGGATTTTTCTGTTTATTTAATGCTTTTGCTTGTTTTTCATTTCAGAGAAAATGGAGCAAAACCACTTTGCCGCATGTAAGGAATGTTTAAGGAAGGATTCTATGTTGAGTTGAATTAAATTGAAATGTCTACATTTCACATACTTCTCAAAATATATATAAACAAAGGATGGGAATAGCTAAACTAAACTAAACTAAAACTCAACTAAACTAAATTGATACGAAGCGGGAAAGCGACTACACTTCATATGTGCTTTTGTGCGCGTAGTTGAGAAGGGAGGGGACACACTACAAAACGCGCATCATACACACATGTAAAAAGCGTAAAGAGTAAAGGAGCTCAGCAGCAGAATGATTCAAGAAAGTGTAGCTACAGTATAAGGAATTAAGCTATACGTGTGCACTAATGAATATCTATTCAAGTGTATCCTGAAATAGTGTTATCGACAATTCTCACAAATGCCAAGTTATTTGACAGTTAATGCCTGCATGAAGAAAAAACTTCGAATACATAGCAGCTGCTCAGACCACAATTGTATGCACAAGCGATACAAACCTTTACAACAATATGGTTAACTATTTTGATAATGAATTTTAAGTTAAGAGAGATAGAGAGAGAGAAAGAGAAAGAGACAGAGACAGAGACAGAGATAGAAAGAGGGAGAGAGAGAGAGAGAGAGAGAGAGAGAGAGAGAATGTCATACAGCAATGGTACATACAACAGACAAACACACCGTAGTAAATATCAGTGAACAGCAGCTATAAGTAGCAAGGCAAGCAGCGAATGCCTTTAGTTTTTAAGGTGGTCAACTGTTAAGTTGCAAAAGGAACAGTAAGAAATTCTTAACGCACAATCAAATAAACAATTTGAAATACCGCCCATCGTCTCAAATGAGGAACAAAGACAGCAATTGCTGCTGATTCTCTGCGTCAGGATAAAATGAAGGAATGTGATTTGAAGATCAAATTTATTCGCGATAGAATTGAAATCGTTAAAGGATGAGGAGGAGCACGTTGAATCAGCAAATTTCATTTATTACCCTCCATTTGATGACCTTTGCGGCACTTGTTGGTTCGCAAAATCAAATCGTTGGTAAGTAAATTCGATTACCTATTGAAATGTATATATACATGATAACGATGCACATAACAGTCAATCGACAGTGGCTTACATTTTCTGAATTGATTGAAACATATCTATCCATTTGTCTATCCCTTTGATATCTATCTGCCTATGCATACTTTTGTTTAATTTATTCATGTATGTTGATCAAGTTTAATGCATTAAGATTTTCTCGACTACACATGTTAACTGTGGCAAATGGATTTGATCATTCTCAGAAGAGGGTGAAAAAAATAGTTCCAGTTATAATAATTTTTGCTAAAAATAGATTGGCGGGAAATTCATTTCGTACTTCTACTAATGACAAATTATTTCATTTATCAAGTCAAGGCAAGCAGGTGTAATGTGCCATGTGGAGTTTGATTATTTGGCTTATTTGGGACAACTTTCATTAGTTGCGAAGTAGCTTAAAGTGAATAAAGTGTAGTGGATAAAGAGCATATTCAAGACATGGCACTTTGTATGAGCGCCAGAAAGGAAGCGACGCATCGATTGCTCGTGAAAATTTTTATGACACGTTGCCAAGTGAAGTTGTGAATGTTCGGAACTGCGAACGATTCTTTCCTAAACTTTCTGTTCTGGAAATATTAGTTTAAAAAAAAAAAGTACTCTGTGCGTTTTGTAATTACAGAACAACTCGGCATCCACCGTTCAACTGCTCAAATATTTTATTTGAAATACGGCAAAGCTTTCGCGCCAACGCAATAAATCGAACCAAAAATTTAGATGGAATAAAATCATTTATTGAAACATCTCCTCCATAAACTTTCGCGCAAAAATTGCGACTCTGTATGGTAACAGAGTCTTCTTGTAATTATTTTTATAGTTAAAATTTATGCACAAGAGTGTAAGCAATTTTACTGTGTTAAGGTTGCACAGCGTAAGTCTCTAATATTTGGAACCTCTTCACAATTTACGCGAAACATCGCGAAAAGTTAAGCACTATAAGGAAAACAGTAATTATTATGTTGATACGTGAAGCATAAGAATGTTTTTTTATAACAATGATTATCTTTACTACTTGCCTTTGGACGATATAAGCTCTTGAGTTGAGCCCAGTCTCGTGCAAGGATTTTTTTGACAAATAAATCTTTATAAGGGCGAAAAACATATCCATTTTGGTATTTTAGATAAGCGAAAAAGTGTATTAAGGGAATTGTTGTAGCGTAATTAGGGGTCGATCTTGGCTGATGCTAACACTTTGACTTGCTTTTATTGTTTATCTAAATAGAATAATTTAGTAAAGCCTCCAGTTTCAATCAATTATTCGCATCATTAAAAATCTAAAATGTTTCATATAAAGTAGAAATGAGGAGGTCATTAAGGCAAGTTGTTGTTCTTATGTAGAATATAATCTAGATGAGAAAAAGTACATTTTAATTAAGATGAGAAAAGAAAAAAGACAACTTAGTTAAGGAGAGCAGTTTAAATGCTTTATTAAAATTGCGTGGTAAAAAATTTTAGATTAACTTCACATACTCTTTGGAACATTGCCAAATCAATTGTTTTTCATCTCTCTTTCTCTCTCTCTCTCTCTCTTTTTTTTTTCAGGCTCTTTTAAATGTACAAATGCAAAAGAATACGAACCCTTGCTTCTCCCGTTAACATTACGAGACGTTAAGGCGGTCAGGATTTTGGTCTTTATTTGATATGTGGATTATTACACATAAGTCAATTAAGTTCATTCTTTCATTTTCATGGGTCGACCTTGTTGCATAATTATCCCGGAATATTATGAAAGCAGATGAAAAGTTTTTAAGATTCCCTTCGATTTTCCTGTGCCCTTTTGAAAGGGCATTTAAAGACTTAGCCACTTAGCAAAACGATAGAAGTTGACAATCATTTTAAATGAATGGCTTGAACAAGCATGAACAGGCGCCAATTCAGTTCCACAAGTCAAGTGATATAAACAGGGCTCAATATTTCACGTATTCGTACGCTCCAACTATTCCGACATGTTTTCGATGCATTTGCTTTCACTTTAAACCTTTTTTTATTCACTAACACATGCAGATAACTAACTATACATCAATGTTTTGTTTATTTTCTACAAAGAGTTAGATTAAGGAATTTGTGTGTTTGTGACCCACTAAAGCCAGATATATAAGTATTTCCATCCATGAATAACAAATTATTTAAATTGATGTTTTACAGGTACGCAACCTTAGATTAAATGCACATGTACACGTATTTGTTCATTTACAAACATTGTACGAATAGAACGAGACTCGGAGCCAAAGAACGTTAGATACATTTACGTATTTTAACAAAACTTTGCATATATTTTAGTTTAGCGTTTAATATATTATTCTGAAAGTTTTTGCAATAAATAGTTCATTTCAACACATGTGCATATATACATACATACGTGTGTGTATGAGTTTTCATACATTATTAAAACTAATGCTAAGTTTATTACAAAGTTTACATTTTCATATGAATTCTCTACAAAAAAAATAAATAAATAAATAAATATATGTGTGTGTGTGCGTATGTTTATGCAAGGACAAGTGAACATTTGAAGTTTGTCTATCGTTTCTTGTTTATATGATATATGTCTCCTTAAGGGGCATAATAAGTTCGCCAATTGTTTGTAACGTATGCATTGAACAACCGATAAAATAGTGAAGATCACGGGCGGTGTACGTCTTTTAATCGATGCCTCCATTTAATTACTTCAAAATTTACCATAAAATGTTATCAACCTTGTTATCAATTCATTTATTCTTCACTTCAAGAATTAAGATGAACTGGAGCTGCATATAATGCTTACTCTGACAGACAGTCATTTTTTCTTTTATTATCATTTCAATGAATTAATGAATTTTTAATATCAAGTAAAATGTTAATTATAAGAGGACATAATGCAGACCTGTAAACTGTGTGATTAAAAGAAGCAGCAGTTGTCCCAGGATGTGAAAATATTTGAGATAATAAGTTCAATGTCACCTTCGACAGTTATTCTCGGCTAAAAGGCAGAGCTTTTGTCTTCTTAGCAAAAGAAGCCGACTGTTAAAATGCAAATACCTTTGGAAGCTTTGCTTTAAACGATTAAGAGACACTGTCTGAGAGATTATCTGAGTTAGACTGTTGTATGTACTATTAAAGTCAGTTCAAGACTAAAAGTTTTTGACTTGATCAAGATGTGTTATTATTATCAGGCACTTGAGGGGACAAACGATATCGACTAACAACTCAATAGTCGCGGATTTGAACATCAAGTGCGTTAAAATTTTCAGTTGAACCTATAGCCCTTTCGTGCTAGTGCTTTAAGACTTTTGTCTTTTCATTTATTTCTCTGGCTATTATTATAATTTACTTACGCCAAAGAGATTTTGAGAGCATTTGAACACAGTTTGGTAAAAATTTAATTAATACTTTTTTTAAAAGCTAGTTTTGTACGGACTAACATAAGCTTTACACCCACTCATCATTCAACTGAATTAACATCTGCCTCTCATTATGCTTAACTATCCATGCCAGATAAATATCGTTTAAATTTTGACTCATTTGGCGAAAATATATTACTTATCCCCTGGTTTATTTTTGTTTGCCTTTGTATTTGTTTGAATTCGTAATTACGATGAGTGCGCACTGTTCATTGTTGTTTCATTTTTGTTGCCTACTTTTATGATTAAATTCATTTATCCGGCTTTGTATCGCTAAATTGTGATTTAAAACAAAAAAAACAAAAAAAAAAAATAAGAAAGAAGAAAAAGGAAAAGAAACCCTATTTGGATTTGTGTTAGTGTGTGTAGTCTAATTAATTAAATTAATTAAATCCATTATACATAATTTGAAAATAATGCCATATTTCCTCGTGTATTAAGCTTGGGCGCGTTATCCATCACTTTACCCGCTATTTGGCTTTGTTGAGTTAATTCTTTCATTTTGCGGCTCTGACATATCCATTCTCCATGTCTTTATGTATAATGCCGAAAGTGTAAATAATTTGTTAATAGATAGAATCAATTGAATCAATTGAAAACCTCCCAGATTGAAACTTATACAGCAATGAAGAGGAAAAAGAATTCATTACACTCCCAATTCTCATTGTCAGTGTCGATTGGCTTATACAGAGAGTGCTGACAAATCGCCTAAAAGTATGATTTGAATTATAACGCGGCATTTGCTGCAATATGAATGAATTGCTTTTCGCTTTATCATATAATCGAATATCGTATGTAAGCTTTTTCGGGTAACTATTAAGTGCTACATCACTGACGATTCGAAAGCGAAAGCGGACAAAAAGTCGACCAAAAAACTTAATATTTTTTGATCCTGAATCTATAAAAAAACTAATGCTTCACTTATACATAAGCGTAGTGGGGAGACATCTTATTTCAATTACTGCAACTTTTTCCGATAAAAGATAAACGTATGCTTATCTTAACTTCAACAAACAAATCATTTTATAGCAAAAAGCGATTCCGAACATTTATCCAATAATAATAACTGGCATTAAATTTCAAATCCATAACTGAGATTCATTCATTTAAATTCATTCCTTCGTAATATGAATCTTACCGATGACGTATTTATTTTTGCGATGATTTTCAAATTTGTGATTTTCCGTATGTTGCTAATAACATTGAGGATGTTTCAAAAGGGTGTATCGCTTTAAAACCATCTCGTAATGAGGTCATTGTTCTGCGAGCTAAACGACCACAGATGCCGTCCTGGTAAGAATAAACATGCATCAATTAAAGGTAAAAGAGAAAAAAAAAAAAAAGATGCAGTTAGCGCTATTCAGCAACACATCCTTTCACCGTAATACTGGAACAAGTAACATTTTTTAGAAAACCGAAATTATCCTCTTACACCGGCAGCCTAAAGACCGCATTAAACTGTCACTTCTGGTGATTGCAGAGCATATTCGTTTATTTCTTTTGGGTTTCATGAGCGAAACATGTGACAAATTTCCTGGTTTATGCATCTAGAGTGGGGCCATTACTTGCGAAATTAATTTCGTTTAAAAAATCATGATCTCATTCAATGCATTTTCTGCACCCGATTAGCGAATTTACAGCGAATGTGTCCGATATGCTCCTAGTGTTTGTTTATCAAATGTCAACGCGATAACAATCGTATGTTGACCGTTGAAAAATGCCGCAAACTTTAAAGTGATGCGTTTTGTTGAAAGGGGCCCCATATACGATATGTAATTAAAAGCGTCCTTCAACGAATCTTCAATCACTTAATTGTTTCGCCCACTTTCTGGCAAAATAAAAACACACGCAATCTTACAAATAAAAAATTTGAATCGTTTTTTACACAATTCTTTTCAGCCTATTTATGTCTTCATTCCTTGCTGCTCATTCTCATTCTCCATTCCATAGTCTTTTCTAACAAGTAGAGTAACTACATGTGTAGAGATTATTTACTGATTTAGAAATCATCATTTTTTTAATAAAGTTACAAAAATACTACCAAGAAGACAAACTTATTTAATTTGATGGATCAGAAGGAGTAAATGCAAATGTCGCGAGAAAGCTTTTTCATACGCCAAGTTCTAAGCAAGAAAGTTATTAAACGAAAGATGAACGGATGAACAGAACCTAAGGAAGACTCAAGAACCTAATGCAGGTCGAGTAGGTGGCAACCGTGTGCATGGGTTCAAATTTCAGTGTGGCAGAGTTTACTTTGATAACTACTTTGCCCTTTACCGACTGGACATGCAAGCACCAGGCTACGCTCGTCTGCCTAACTCATTTTCTTTACACCAAACTTAAGTCATTTCACTAGATATGGGCTTCGTCTCGTAGGCACGAAACGTGGCTGTGGGTTCATTGTTTTCGTAATAAGTTTTAGCAATGTCCGTATGCCGTTCAACCATGTATGTGTTTGATTCCGCAAATAATGGCGAGCTCCAAACGATATATTGAAAAGAAAATTTGATCCAAATCTTAATCAGAAATGGGTTTTATTTATATTTTACTTTCGGAACCGCACAATATATTTACGCCCTAGAAGAGACAACAACGTTAAAATAAGCTAAGCATTTTTTTTTTCTTTTTTTTTGTTGATCTATAGATTAATGAGTTTTTTTTTTTTAATATTGTTACAGCTGTAGTTACAAAAACAACGGGAACAGCCGTCGCATCAGAAACACCAACAGCAACAGCAACAGCAACAACAGCAGTAAATTTTCGATTCAATGCTTTCGTTTCGACGCGTAACACATCTACACTGTTGGTATCACCACCATTGGTATCATCCTCTAGACCGTCGGCCTCATATGAGCGAGTTGAAAATACAAGAATGTCTTTATTGTCATCATCATTTCCACCAGCAGCGAAATTATCATCATCATCGTTGGTGTTACCGTTGTCGCCGCTAGCAGCATTGTCGACTTCAACGGAGGCGTATTCTGCGTATACAACAGCAACAAGGACAACTGCAAGCTCTTCTGAGAGAAGATCTTCATCGTTTATGAACAACAGAAGCAAAAGCATTAGCAGCAATAGTAACTTTAACGTTAATCCTTCAAATTCTTATCATATATCCACCTCAACTGGCAACAGTATATCAAAAAGCAGCAGCTCATCTCAACATGTTAACAATTACAGATTGACAGCAGCTTTGGCAGCACCGTCAGGTGCTACATCATCATTCAAGAATGTGAAAACCACAAGCAGAAGCAAGTTTCCACTTGAATTTACTTACTCTAGGACTCACTGGACATACACAGGTGAGTTGATGTATACTGTGCACTGCATTAAAATTGAATTAAAATTCAAGTGAATTTAACGATTTGGGTTCCAGTCATAAGGACTTTCATTAATTACAAAACAACTTTTACACCCTTCACAAACGCTACACTGACCTTGACAGCGTATCTGCTTATTCGTTATCATCGCTCAACTACTTGCTGTGGTACTGTCGTGAACGGACTTGTTCTTGCATATTAAGCCTTGCAAATTTTATTTTCAACATCAAATCCCTCCTTTGAGATGTCTATTTTTAGTCAATACTTGTATGTAGATCATCATCACTGGGGATTATGATGTTAGAAATTTGTTTTCGGTTCGAATCTTGCAATTTGGTCACCCTCTCACCTTTTGGGATATTGGCAAACATTTGTTAACAGGTCATCATTACCTTTTACGACATTGGACCTTTGTTTTGGGTTAATATCGTTCAGTAGGTCAACGTTCCTCTTGGTTCTTGGCTTGGATCAACCATTGCTAGCAGATGATCGCTTCAATTGTTTGAGCAAGGGACAAGTAACAACAGTCTGTGTTCACTTAGACTGGAATTGTAAGTAGAGTAATATATCTGAGTGCTTAGCTACCCCACAGCCTTCAACGTGGAGGCAATTTGGATTTGTTCTCAAAAGTTGAAAGTTTTTCTGTTTATTTATAATTAAGACTTAACTAAGTCAACGTAAGATGATGTATGTGTAAATTGTTTATAACTGCACATATGTGTATGTGTACATGTTTTCTAAAAAGTGTTGCCATCCTTATGTTACAGGCAACATGGTTAAGAAACATGTTGCTGCGAAAAAAAAGCAACTTTTTCTTATTTTATGCGTTTTTGCTGGAGTGGGAGACATATCCAGTTTAACAAAAAAAATAAATAAATAAATAAATTTTATAAATGAATCTCTACGAAAGTTAAGAAATTTTAGAAACTATAAATATGGTTTCCCCCAAAGCGATTTTTCGCCGAACTCTGTTCAGCCTTTAAAACGATAGCCTTCCACGCACATCTGCCCAAATGTCTGATCAAAACAAACAAACCGATAAAGTTTGCTTTTTTTGATCTCATATATCCCCGCAAGATACAGATACGGTCTAGTGCAGTGACTAAAGCAACGCAGAGAAGACTTGGGAAATCTTTATATGAATTCGACCTTTTCTTTCCAGAACTTTCCATTGTCTCCTTGTCCTCATATTACTGATCTTTATCTATCAAGTTACTCGTGTCTGCATGAAGCAGAAGTAAGCAAAGGCAAATCTTTAGAAAAAAGAATTTAGATAATTGTTAAAATGTGAACAGTTTTTTTTTTATGATACAATCGTGGACATTTCCAAGTAGAAATGTCTAAAGGAAGATTATAATATTATCCGCAAAAAACCACAAAAAAATAACAGGTAAGACAATTATGTTCGGCCGTGACCGAATCTTTTATATCCATCACCGCGATCCTAAACAATAGGACACGATCTAAACTTTCATGCCCTATTATATTAGTCGACTTTTTCCATTTTTACAGATATGCTATAGCCTCGTCCATGGAATATACGCTCAAATTATTGTGGATTCATTTGCTACAGTTTTTGAGTAATGAGCAAAAAATCAATTTTTGATTCTCTTTAAAACACAGAGATGTTCTCACTTTACGTAGCATAGTAGGCGAGTCGTTCCATCAATTTGACGCATTTTCAACACCAGCCTGCGTACAACAACTTCCAATATTTCTGTCATATTTGAAGTCGATAGCCTTATTTTTGCGAACAAGAGAATGTCTACAACAGACATTACGCAGACGGACTTGCTTAAATCGATTCCGAATTTGATGCTGATCAAGAATGTATATACATTGTCGGATGTCTGACGCTTCCTTGCAGATGGTATAAAAGTGCTCTCAAAAACAAAACATTTTCTTTTTTATAGCATCTCCTTCGTCTCACCGTTACCGATACCTTGGCCCTTAATCAATTGACTCGAAATTTCGTCTACAGCTTTGCAATGCCACATTGTTCTCTAGTGAAACATGTCGGTTTTTATACCCTGCGTCACTTGTGGCATAAGGGCGAATTAAGTTTGTGCACATGTGTGTAACCCCCAGAAGAATTGGAGGTATTATAGCGATCGATCTAATATTGTCTGCTCGTCTTTTTTTTTTTTTTTTGTCTTACCTACGGGCCGCATTTTTTGAGATCTTTTGACGAAATTTGCTACATTAAACTCTTTTGGCCCAGGGAAGAACACTATGGCAAATGGTTCGGATCGGACGACTTTTTCGAGTGCCTCCCTTCTAACGCTTTATTTTGAAAAGTCGTTATATAAATAACAGTAAACCGGGCCGTGGTCGACTATACTGTTTATACTTGTTTTACTTCTCACAACAATTATAACTCGAGAAATGGCTTTCACTTGAATTTTTAAATATGACGTCGCCCGATTACTAAACAATTGTATGTATAGAAGAAAATTGTGTAAATAGCTGAAAAGCTGAAAATATGTATATAGAATGGCACACGTCTTCAATTGCCTTCCATACAAACGTTCTTACAGAATACAAGCTTTCTTATGTCAAATACATTGTTCGAATACATTGTATTTTATGGTGATTGATAAAAGAACAATGGTTTGTCATACGAATTCATTGTGATAAGTTTGGACGGCGTAAATTTATTTTTCGGACTCCTCTCCATACCAGCGTTCTCATAGAAAGTAAGCCATGACATGGAATTGGGATATAATTTTTGAAAAGTTGAAATTTGTCTTTATTGACACGAAAATGGATAAAGAATATTCTTAGAAGAAGTGGTTTCGAATATTTGAAGTACGGACTTGCTTAACTGTAGGATGTAAATATGATTAGATTAGAACACCATACCATTTAATTTACACACTACAAGTTCAAATTATTTAACGCGTACTGAAGAACCTTTGCATTACTAATCGAGTTAAAGAGGAAAGGCATATTTTTACATCATCAGCCAATTTTTTTTTTTTTTTTTTTTGCACGAAAATCCTTTTAGAATGATGGAGGGAGGGCTTTTCATTCATGCTAAACAAATTTCGAATTTTCTATCGGCGAGCTGCCAAGTGTTCAAAAATTGTTATTTTTAATAACATATATGGTTAGAAGTAAGAGAAGTAAGTAAGGCGGCTCGCCATCATTTTGCGGCTATCGCTAAAAGTCGTCGTCACTTAAATTTTCAAATCGTTGTTAAGTCGAACGAGAAACTGATATCCAGTGGGTATCCTTTAACTCATTTTAAAGAATCTGTGCCAATATAATATTGACAGAAAGATATTTTCTCCTCCAATTTTTTTTTTTTTTTTTTTTTTTGGTTTTCCAGTTTATTTTATTTATTTACTTTCTTTTTTGTCTTCTTCTTCTTCTTCTGCTTTAACGATTATACATTATCCTTCAAAAGAAAACCGCACTTTATAAAATTTCCAGCATTCAGAATTGTTGGCGGAAAACCTTAACGCATTTCATGAATGAAACTCTTTTTCAAATTTCTTTGCATTAACAAAAGAAAGAAAAGTGAAACCATTCATAACTGTGCTTCCTTTTGTTATCAAATGCTTGGTGTTTTTTTTCTTTCTTTTTTTTTTTCCCCCATCTAACGCCCTTCACTGATGTTGGCAATAAAGCGAAGAGAAGGGAGAGAAATTTTAAATATTTTAGTATTAAAATGAAATAATTCTTGAAATCTATTGAATTTATTGGTCTATCTTACTTGATTTTTTTTTTTAAATATTTTTTCCCCTTCTTTGAACTGTGAGCTACACAGTAAATAGAAAACAAAAACATATCTCTATCATTTACTATACAGCTAAGGATAGAGTAATATATTATTCAGTCTATTAGAGGCGGGAGCGAAGAACACCATACATTAATAAATATTAGGAAGAAAAAAAAAAAAAATGAATAAATAAATAGAACACGTATTTATATTTAAAGTGTAAATAAGTTAAAATTTATATCATATTTATATTCACTTTTAAATTTATGGCTATGGAATCACTAATAACGCAAATATACCTTTGCTTTAAATTACAATAAAATTTAAAATTTTTATACACTTCCCATATACATAGAATAGCAAGAAATTAAATTAATTGTCAGGATAGAGATGGGTCCCTCTTCACTCTTTCTCACTCTTTTTATATATTTCTTTCAATATCGTTCAATTATCAGTTACCCTAGCATAGGTAGCGTGGGAAAGAGGTGTGAAGACAGCTCATCTTTTACCAAAGGCAAAAATGTGGAACGCGTACCGTGGGCTAACTTCACGCTAGTGAGAAAATAATAAAAATGAAAGTTCACTCGATACATCACAAAAACCGTTGCATGGAAAATGCTCCAATGCGGTCCAAGTTTACGAAAGGAAATTTTTTTATTAAATCATTTTTATGATCATAAAATTCTAACAACTTTACCTTGTTGCCATAAAGAGGGTTACTTTTTATGAGAAGCCTTGCTTAGCATGGAGATGGCTCTAGATGTTTTACATGGATACATGCCGTGAAAGCTTAACTCCACAGTGCCCGATGCCGCACCGAGTGCGAACACTCAGTTGTTATGAAGATAATAGTTACCGCATAATGAGACACTAGTTGCCGCGAGAAAAATGACGAAGAGTGATACGAAAAATAAACCAATTTAGTCCAATTTAACTTTTGTTGACCAATTTTCATTATAAACTACAGAAAATTAGATCGTGCCGCCATACAAGGGCGAAAGTTAACAAAAAGTGTTCTCATCCAAATCAAATTCTCTACGCTCATACCACAAATATCACCAAATTTTTGACGGAAGATATTAAAATTGGAATTGCTTTTATTTATATATCCACATCGGCATATGTGATTCAATTCATATTTTATTTGCAATGGGGTTATTGGTTTCAGTAAAGCGAATCAGCGAACCGAATATAACGAAAATATTTCGAAAAATCACGATACATATGTAAAGGTTGAACGCAATAACACATTTACATGTATATGTAAGAGGGATAAACGTATGCATATCCTTACATTGGCTTGCAAAATAATTCTGTATCGATTGGTATTGTGAGAACTATGCCAATCTTAAGTCATTCTGCGTTTTGCACTTAAGATGCACTTAAGCTGAATGCACGGAAATTAATTTAAAAAGCTAATGTAAAGCTTAAGATGAAACTTTAAACGCCTATAATTTTTTTTTTTTTTTTTTCTTTTTTTTAACTTTAACATTCTGAACATTCGGGAATTAAAGAAATTATCGTTCAATGAAAAGTTACCGCAATGCGCTGCACTGACTTGAGCATAGGCTCGACCTTAACTAATCGGACTGCCATCTTTTAACTGTGTAAAAGCTGATTTCAAAATGGGGCCTATTAGAGATGCTTGACTCAGCTTTCCAACTAAAAAATAGTTCGAAACTCGATCAGAACGGTATACATTTGACTTAAAAAAATTCATTTGAAATGTGATGAAATTATAGTTGAATTCTGGTCAAAAAAAGCACGAAGTTAAGCAATCAACTGACTTGTTTGAGCGACCAATATACGCTTCCAAAGTCACTCCGCACATAATCGCATTTATGCACTCAACACAGTTACGCTTTCATTTCAATATTTCGTATTCACAGTTACACCAAACATTTCATTACACTGTTAAAGAAAAAGAAAAAACAAATCCACCCTCGTTTGTCTATCAAACTTCTCTTCGTTAAACAATCTCATATATAAACAACACAAATAATGTCCTTCAAGTTGGTGCTTAGCACAGCGTTGGTAAGCGAGACCCCTAACCGGCACAATATTTATGTTAACAATAAACTACATAAACTTCCATACTTTCGGTCATTCTTGTACATAGGGTTGGTATAGAAAATGGGTCAAATCGGTTGACGGGCACGTCCGCAACTCCCCGCAACTTGGGAATACCATCATTACCCAAAGGAAGAAAAGAAGAAGTTGTTTTTTTGCTCATGCCCCAGCAAATAAATCAGTTGTGATTTATTCTATGGGTGATGTTTTAACGCCTTTGCACTTTTTTTGTCAGAATCTTTTGAACGTCCAGAACGAACTTTCTTTACCAGCGTGAAATTGGACATCCACCAAAAAATGTCCGCCTGTCTGTCTGTCTGTCTGTCTGTCTGTCTGTCTGCCAAACTGTGTAGTGTCTGTGGTAAACACTATTCCGACCATTGGTTGATAATGGGCCAAACCGGCCGAAAGATTCGTCTACAATGACAATAAAGTGAGAACACCATTGCTTTTCGTATTCTTCGCTCGTTACTTAAAAACTGTAATGGACACACTTTCACTTTTTGTGTCAAAAATATTTAAAAAATTAGCCACGCCCACCTAATATTAATATAGAGTAAAGAAATTTAGTTTTTTGCTTTCTTTGTTTTTTTTTTTTTTTTATCTTTTTTTTCAAAATAACGATTCACAGTCACAGTCGAATATAATTTTCTTAGCATTTTTGTTCATTTGAAAAACGGAAAAGCCAAAGTAAATAAATAAAGTGAAAAGAAAGAAAAAAGAAAGTAAGGAATAAGAGAAGAGAAGAAAAGAAAATAAAAACTGATATGCATTAAAATAGATGCCCAGTTAGGGCCGATAATCATAAAGCTACAAAGTGGAAGCTTACTACCACGAAATCAGGATAAACAAGTAAGATGTTTACCATCAAGTTATTGGAAAAATTAAAAAAAAATCCGTAATAAATGTGAGTAAAGTTTATGTCAATTATCGTTTAATTACACACAAAACTTGTGAGTTTTTTTTGACGCTGCATCACTATGGTCTACGATACTATTCGTAAAATACTCTTATACTTGCATATGATTATTAAAAATGAAAAGTTGATAATTTAATGCGATAAACAATCGTAATTCATGGACAGATCTCATTACTATAATAAGCGCTTTTATCCTTACGAATGCTCAGAGACGATAAAATGTGAAGCTAAGTTGCCTTATAATAAATCTTGATTGCATAGCATAACGAAAATGGCACTTTGAACTGTGGTTTAAAAAAAATAAAAAAAATAAAAAACCCATAGAATAGTCAATTGAAAAGTTTATCAAGAGTTGAAAGGCGACAAATGCAATAAAAGGTAATGTGGCAGTGGACTAAGAATTTTTTCTTAACTTAACGGCAAAAGTTTTAGTTTTGTTGGGCGGAAGTATATGTGTGTGCCATCATTGTTGTTACAATATTTGGGCAATAAGCATTTTAAAAATAATTTGTTATTATGTTCCGTTCATTCATTTTGTCCTCGTTTACCTTACCTTACCGTACAGATGCTGTCAATAATAGCAATTTTGGAAAAAGCCCATTATCAACAGCATCGTTATCGTCGACGACGACAACTACCGAATTGCCGCGAATATTTCGCAACAATAACAGGCATCACCATGAGCACCACTGGGGGCCGTTTTTTGAGGAGCCACTCAATTCAACGTCTTCAGGTGATAACATCATAACAACAGCACATCTATTCACGGAAGCCATACTAAATTGTCGCGTTGGCATGTTAAAGGATAAAACGGTAAGTGCATGCATAAGATAAGCCCGTATATGTATCTATCTATCTATCTAACTGCATAGTTATGGGAGTTTGGATGTTTAAAAAATGTTAAGTACAACAATAATAACAATAACAATAACAGCAGCAACAATAGCAACGACAACGAGTATATGTAATCTACAGAATTATATGAAAGACATGCAAGCAGGATAAAAGGAAAACAGCAGCTAGACTTGATTTTTGAATTCATAAATAACAAAATGTTTCCTCTAAAGAAAGTCAAAAGCCATAAGAACAGCGGCGCATAAATACATAAAGAGCTAAAATGGCAGCAATAACAGCAGTCGCATAAACAAGTATGCAACTAAAAATCCATTAACGCAGTTCCTTGTTTTGTAAAATTCCCCAACAGGCAATTTCAATTTGTATAAAAGCTTACCCGTTCCTCGTGGCAAACAGTGAGCATAGTTTACTTACTTCCTTCCAAGCGCCTAACTGCCAGTTATACATGCCTATGTACACATATGTATATATACATACGTATATACATAATACATATTTCTAGTGCATATACATAAGCATTTATAAATATATATAAAAACCGACAGACAGATACACCCATATATATCTATATATATATATGTATATACAACATGCATTATATAAATGTATGTGCGGACAAAGCGCTGTTTTAACTCAACTAGCCAACGCAATATACATTACAAGTCGTTACCATCTTTCTCATATAACTCATACAACTTCAAAAGTTCTAATGCCTTGAATATATTTTCATAGGAATGCATGTAAAATAACATGTATCACATCGCTGATAATTTCTTAGTGAAACGATTGCTTATTTACAGTTGACCTACTCTCGTGTAATCTTCATATCAACGTCTTACGCAAAATAATTACTTCCCTTTCTTCCTATTTAATGCAGCGAGTGTGCTTGGAACTCATTCCCAAGCAAAAACTCTTGACAAGTCATCTTAAATTGTCAAACGACCGTGTCTCCTCTTTCTTACAATCACACTTCATATACTCTCTGAGCACACGTTAACACGAACCAACTTGTTTTTCTTTTCTTTACATCGAAGATTAAAAAAAAAAAAAAACAACAACAACAACAACAAATTTTCTCTCTAAGACATTGACAATGAGCCGTAACGTTTAACTAAATGTATTCGTTGTGTAATTTCCTTTAGCACTTTTCATAATGAAGTAAGTTCAGTGCTTGCAGCGCGAAATCATTATAATCATCTGCCACGGTTACTATATATATGAGTGTAAAACTGCTTAGTGGTGATGACACTCTTCATTTTAACATAAACGATATCCCAAAAAGGAAAAGCAAAAGCAAAAAAAAAAAAAAACTATATATGCAAGAAATTGCATTCAATACATTTTATAACTAGAAACCAAAATTTGCTTTTTATATAGAAATTGCCGAGAAATCTTTAATACATTGAATAAGGGGATCATCGATCAAGAAATAGTGCGACTGTAAGCATTCTTCAGTTATCACAGTATAATCCATTATGCATTGCTTTTTGACGAGCCAAACATTATTATACATGAAGCTAGTCGTCACAATTATCGACAAACGGTTCTTAGCAAAGGCATAGCGATAATGTACTTTGGCACATTTAATTGATTCTCTTTATTCATAAAAAAAAAAAACACACTTCATATCACTGAACAATGGCCCTGTTCAGCTATTCTTAATAATGAAAATCTTACTCTTCGAACATTATTTTGACTCGATTTGAAAAAATAAACTCGAAGTGAAAGAAAGGAAGGCATTGTTTTTTCAAATTCAAATTAATAAGGCCCATCTCAACTTCCGAGAAAGAATCTAGCCTTCTGTCGGTCTGTAATATACATCTGTATATTGATAAATATTCATGAGCAGCTTCAGGATGAAAAGATTTATTATGATCAGCAGGATGGAGCACCTTCCCACTATCATAGTCATGCGAGAGGTTATATCAATGAAAATCTGCGCGACAGATAGATTGCGTGCAGAGATGCTATCGAATGGTCCTCGCGCTTTCCAGACCTCATCTCACTGGATTTCTTCCTTTTTTTTTTTTTGCGAGGACGCATCTCTCTCGTTTATCTAACAAAACCGGCAATAGACGATCCGTTGAAGGCGGAACGAAATTCCTAAAGGAACGATTCGTGATTCCGTTGTTTCGCGTTATCGGGGACGTTTTCATCAAAGTGGACATCCATATGTCTTCTTTATTTTGTACTCTTAACCTGTAATCCTTCCAAGTCTATACGCTTTTTATAATCACCCAATGTGTGCAGAACTTTTTTCGAGACACCCTGTATTATGTTTGAAGAAAATCTATTACTACTACTAGTACTACTACTTCTACTACTACTACTACTACTACTACTACTACTACTTTTTTTAAAGAAGGGTTTCTCAAGTTTTAGTACGCCCATCCTATGCATTATGTTCCTATTCTTTGTGCCGGGAGACAATCAATTCAATATTTTATTATAGGAATTTTAGGAAGATTCGCATGCAATCAACAAAAAAAGAATAAAAAGGAAGTAAAAAACTTACATTCGACTGTGGGCGAATCATTCACACCCACCTCCGTTGGCTTAAAGAAGCTAAAATTTCGATGCTCTGCGATATTAATGTCAAGTGGACGTAGCTACTTTGTACCATTTTTTGCTGAGGTCGTACAATCCCAGTAAAATTTATGGATAATGAGTAAAATACCTAATTTTTTATTCGTAAAAGCAGAGATGTCCTCCGTTTGTATTGTTATGTGATTTGTGCGTCCTCTAACCGATTAGCCCTATTTTCAATACTAAACTGCGTGCAACGATGTTTCCGTTTTTTTGTATCAGGTTTGAAACCGATAACCGGTGAGGCCGCGTTAATGTTTGCCATAGATATTGCGCGATCGGACATAGGGACAAAGGGATAAGCGCACAGACGAATAGACAAACACTTTTCGATTATAGATTGCTTAGGTTATAAGAATATCTACGTATTATAGAGAAACTAAAGCTTTTTTTCTGCAAATGTTGGAAATGTTTCGAGAAAATTAATACACTCGTCCCCTTTCTCATATTACGACGATAGGTATAAAAAAATGGAAAAAATACACAGAGCTCAGCAATCTCTTCACATGCTATACATTTGTCTGTAATAAAAAGCCCACATAAGGTAACGAGAAAACTTTCAATATTTCTTGATCGTATTATATATATATATACATATATATATATGTACATATGTGTATATATAGTGTACATATATGTATATATATGGACAATTTAAAGTGTGCGATACGTTTTTCTGCAAACATTCTACAAATTTATCACTTTTGCCCACAGGCGCTACTAAGTCCGCAAGTATAAGTCAAGAATCAAGGAATATAGAAATGAAAGCAATCAACCGTTAACTTGTAGTTGATTGAAATTCAACATTATTTTTAGATCCACTACGATCTTCTTTATATTCAAACTATCAGAAAACGTCGGTATATTAATTTTATTACTTGCCTTGAATTGAATCATAGATAAAGTCAGAGGCTTCTGCTTCATTATAAGCAAATTCTTTATTCGCTTTGTACATTGATTTGTCTGCTCTCATGTTCGAAATCGTTGGGCGTGGTTAGTTCATGATTCAAAGCATTTATATCATATGATTAAGATAACAACAACGATTAACAAAAACTTCAAGATAAAATTGATTGTACACGACACGAACACAACTACTTTCTTATTGCATTTTTTGTAGGGAGAGAGTGAAAAATAAAAACAGATCTTATTAGAAGCAAACGTAATTTGCTTAGATATTTATTTCGCAGGATTCAAGTCTCCCGTAGTCATAGTTGTTGATGAAGTAAACAATATTCTCGGATGGCGGCTACATCATGACTTACATTTCAACGTGTATTAGTGATGCTTCACATTCAACTTGAATATCTACTTAAAAACAAAATATCGTTTTAAAAAAGAGCTATATAAAAATAAAAAAATAAAAAAAAACTGGCACTATATTTAGGTTATTGCTCTACATTGCCTTTTATATTCAATTGCATCCTAGATTTAAGCGTTTCACAACTTAAAAATGCGATTTCTTTATATCTGCGCATTTATCTAAGCACGTGTAAATGTGAGTTGCTAAAGAACACGTAATGCATATACATAGTAAAATTAAAGAAAAACTTTTTTGCTCTTCTCATAGTTTAACATTTGTTTTTGTTTTACTTTACTTGCGTTTTTTGTTTTATTTTTCTTGTCACATAAACCTCGTATAGGATTGTGTAACAATAATAAGAAAACAAATATAAAAAAAAAAAAAAAAAAAAAAAAAAAAAAAATACTAAAATAAAATAATATAAAAAAGAAACAACGCCATTTAGTCGCAAACTTTTAGTGTTCATGTGTCAAGAGTTGTAATCGATTACCCAAACAACAAAAAATATTTTGAAAAACTACTTAAAGTTATTGGCTCTTGAGCTTGAATGCAAAAAAAAAAAAAAAAAACAGAGGAAAAAAAAAAACATCTCAACAAGAACACTTACTACATACTATACTTCGTGTGCGTTAAATATTTTGATAAATTGCCCTTGCATCATAACCTTCTGTGTGTTCTATTAATTTAAGAAAGAGAGAAAAGCTTTTTACTTAAGAACACTTTCATTCTTTCATTTTATTAATTTCATCATCATTAGTTTGGCAAGTAAATTATATCAATTTTTTAGTTTTTAATTTTAAAAGTAGATTTTCATATACAATTTAATTATAATTGCCTTTATACACCTACAGGTCAAGAAAGGGCCAAAGCAAAGGAACATGAAAGAATTTCTACTCTGCCAACATCGTTAGAACCACTCCGATTGTGTAGAATTCATAAGCCATGCCACAGCCTATTCATGGCGCCCTTAGCTCTATACAACTGAACAACATTTCTATATATTATATATACACTCACTTTCTTGCCTCCATTGGAAGTTTGAATCGAGGTTGATTTAAATTTGCTTTTTCCTGAAAATACACTCTACAAAAAGTTTCATGATAACCATCATGGTTTCACTCTTCGACAAGTAAACGTTTTGAACCATCAATTCTCTGTCGTGCGAAAGATAAACGTAATTGTCAACAAAATAGTCTCGACTTCAACACCATAATGCCCTTACAATAAGTCTTTGCGGATACCGTACCCATATTTCTCTTGGTGTTCTTAAGCACTTTGAGATATTCAAAAAACCTCATGTCTCACATCTTTACTTAGTACTTACTTGGCCCAATTGTATCTTATTTTATAGTATTCAAGCACAAGTTATGTCACATATATATATAAAAGGGGATTATTTTTCAAACTTTTAAAATACTGTCGGTTTCTAATACGTTTCCATAGGGAAGTTACCTGCAACTCCCTCTAATTTCATATGTTTTCTTTTTTTTTTTACCGTAATTCGATTCGTCTTTAACTGAAGAAGATATTAATACTCGGTCGCCTATTTATTGCGTATTGAACACTTTTGCGACACGTCATTTAGCTGCGGATCGCAAAAAGTATTTCGTAATATGCATACACTTCACGCAATGACTAACAATTTTATTAAGTACGCGTGCGAGAGGATTGCATCTAAATTTCATATAAAATTAATTTCCCTCAGCGAATTTTCGCATCACAGCGACATAGAAGGTCGCAGCATTTTAAAACAAATGCAAATGAAGAAGAATTGAAAGGTTTAACTTCGGATTTTTGCGATACCAACAAAATTGCATAATATACCGGGCAGAAGACTTAAGATCAAATCAATAAAATTTCACTTCACTTTCATTTCATCAACATCTGAAAGCAGCAATCATCACTCATACTAATGATCGTTAGTAGTAAGTTACTACAAATGGAGGGAAAAAATTAGGGACAACTTGCGATACATGTACCACATACTTATATAGACCGATTCGGAATCATTTTTCACAACGATTTAAGCTTATTTTTGCGTCCGTCACCGAGGTGTGAGGAATATATTCATTTGGTCGAAGCATTTACAACATTGTCCAGAAAAAAGCTTCAGAGACCAAAGAAAGTCTATATGTGTTTAGTTGGCCAGCATCAAATTCTGAATACATTTGAACATGTCTGTCTGTCCACTTGTCAATCTGTGCAATGTCTGCTATAAATATGCTCCGGGCCGCAAAAATGAAGCTATCGCTTGAAGAAGAATTTGCAAATGATCCAAAGTTTTCAAAGAATACTGTTACAACGGGCCACACACCTACGCAACAAAATCCATATTTGTTGCTTGTTACTCATAAAGCACAACACACATACCCTATAAAGTTATCCATTTTTATTCTGAAAATAGAAAAAATAAGCCACACGAGCGTAATAATATGGAGTACAAAAGTTTAGATAACAGCGATGGATATAAAAGATCCGGTCACGATCGAATATATCTTATTTGTTATTGCATATTCTTGAAAATATGTCTAGCAAAACTTAAAATTTAGGAATGAATCTAACTAATGCTTAATGATATTTTTATTCACTATTCAATCCTCAAAGCAGATAATTTGCATCTTATTAAATCTGGTTAAAACCATCAAGTTGTTTGTTTTTTTTTTTTTTTTTTTTTTAAGCTTGTATTACGTCGTTCCATTCAGAATGATTCGTGCTCTCTTGCCCGCCTCTCTGTCTGATTTTTGAGCTCAATTTTCACCTCGCAATTTGCGAGATATTTCGATGAAATTTATTACACTGGCATGTTTTGACCTAGGGACGAACACGGCTGATAATGGATTGTATCGAATCATTTTTAAGGCCATTCCCCGTATAAATCCTTAATTTAAATAAACATCCTTTCGGATTGAAAAATAGTATTTCGTTGCAGTAAATTTAAATTTAGTATATTCGGATGGTACGGAATCATCTTTTGATTCCCTGCTCATATAGATGTTTTCATAAAAAATAAACCCTTACAAGGCAAAGAGACGAAAATGTGAGAAAAATAATTCTTATGAAAGACAAGTCGATAGCACTTTTAACGAATGTTCTCTCAAAGGATTCATAACTCGTCGCCTTCAACGTTTTGCTCACTGTTGCATATGCATTTTTACCTAGCTTAACGCTCTTATGTATGGATGCAGTTTATCGTAAATTTTCTCTTACATCACCAAAGACTGCATCACAATTTATCCGATGAATTTTCACAGTCATAATCATTTTCTGTAGGATTTTAATGTACTGGAAATTATGATGATGTTATCGTTAAACAAGTAAGAAAATTATATTCGGTTGTGACCGAATTTGTTGCACCCATCGCCGTCAGCCTATTTTTGTAGAATAATTTTGTTGAAATTTATATCGCATATCTGTTGAAATTGATAAGAAAAGCGTAAGAGAGAGGTAAAGCAAAAGTGTTCATTATCCTCTTTACACGGACATGTGAGCGTTGTAGGTGTATTCTTTGAAATGTTTAGCTGTTTTTCAAATTCTTTTGCAAGTTTACAAGCGACAGCTTCATTTTTGCGGCCAGGAGTATGTTTACAAAAGACATTGGCCAGATGGATAGATGGACAGACACACATTCTTAAATCGATTCAGAATTTGAAGCTAATTAGGAATATATATATATATATACCCTGTATGTTCTCTGAAGCTTCCTTCTGGGCGTTACAAACGTTTTGACAAAATGAATATACCCCTTGTGCTTCGGCCATGCGTATAAAAAGAAAAAAAAAATTACATAATTCACACTCTGGCCGTTTTCATCATTTCTTGGTGCGATAAAATACGCATTTGCGTTAAATTGGTGCCGCGTGGTAACTTTCGCGTTCATGTTCAAAGTGCTGCAATTAAACCGAAGAATAAACTTAAACTTCAAATATTAACTTGAGAACCTTGAACATGACAGTTTCCAACCCACTCCCTGCGGTATTACATTAAGCTTTATCGCGTCATTTATTACTTTAAATATATATATATATATATATATATATATATGTATGTATGCACATATATGCACACAAGCATACATATACTAACATACATGCATATATATTCATGTACCAAATATGTATGGAGCAAACGTCGGTTGTTTCTTTATATAAATGTGTGTGTGTATGTGAATGAACATAAAAATCATTGTCCTTTTTGGCAGAGAATCAAAATCCATATTATATGAGCGTATTCGCATATATATATATATATATATATATATATGTATGTTTATATATATAATATAAGTAACATTCCGCACCCACACATGCAGAAAAGTTAATAAAATGTCACAAGTCTTGGAGGAAATTCCAAAAAAAAAAAGCGAAGTAAAAAAAAACAATTTAATTTCCTCTGACCCGCTTGTGCGCAAACTGACTGTCGGTCCTTATCGACTACGTATCATTCATTCATTTTCACGTTTTCTTTTTTCTTTTTGTTTTCTTCTGGTAGCAGCAGTGGCTTATGTATGCGTTGCCTTGTGTATGATTTACTTTTTTTTAAAAAAATATATATATATTTTCAGGTCATGTGGGTGAGACGAACGGCGGAGAAGGTCTCTTTATTAACATTCGGTAATGTCACTTACAGCAGTGACCCGCGAATACGAGTCAAATTTCAATATCCCAACAACTGGCGGCTGTTGATAAACCCCACCCAATGGGAAGATGCGGGCATCTACATGTGTCAAGTGTCCACACATCCACCGCGCGTATTCACAACAAATTTGACCGTTATTGGTAAGTGCGCAAACAAAAAAAAACAAAAAAAAACAAAAAAAAAAAAAACACGAAAGGAAAAAAGACGAAAAACCATTAACATATGTCTGTACATACACACACACATAAACATATGCAACTGCAAACGAAGAAAGATATTCTACATATTCAAAACAATTCAACTCTCAAATCCCTTTTCGTAGAGCCGGTTCCAATGGATTGCACTTTTTAAGTGAACGCGTATATGTAAAGGTGTTTAAAAGCCTGAATGCAGATTTACTATGTTTTGAGGGCCACACACAGTACACATTACACAGTATATATGCACAAAAGCATAGTAGCTCTCGCAATTTCATTTGCATTGAGGCATTGACGTAAAGACAAACGCTGCACGCTCATAACATACATTTTCTACTTTTTCTACTACGGTTTTGCAAGAATACCACTTTACTACTCTACTAAAGGAAAGAACCACATTAGCTTTTTGAAAACTTGAATAAACACAAGAACTAGTTTACCAAAGCGCTCGTTGTGGATATCAAAGGATAAACAACATCCTTTTCGACATAATCAAAAAAAAAAAATATATATATATATTAGTTTGGGGAAAAAGAAATCCATTATTTTTTCGATAGATGGCTGCACTGATAGATTTCTCGTAAAGTATCGATCAAACAATTTCAGATTTATGCTCGTTGGAAAGGTGACATTTCGCAGTAAAAAAAATTCTTTAGCTGTTTTTTGTTTGGTGCATTCAGTTGTGCATTGCAGCGTGTTAAAAATGGAAGTGAATAAAGAGAAAATTCGGTACATTTTACAGTTTTTCTTTGACAAAGGCGAAAATGCAAGCCAGGCGGCTAAAATTGTGAATGGTGTTTATGGTTTCGATACTGTAACAGCCAATTATGTGCAATTTTGGTTTCGTAGATTTGATGTTAAAGATGCACCTCGCACAGGTAGGCCGGTCGTCGAAAATGTCGATAAATTCGGAGAAATGATCGAAATTGACCGGCATGTTAGCAGTCGTAACATCGCCGAGGAGCTAAAAATCACACCATAAAACAGTTTTAAACCATTTACACAAAGCTGGATTCAAAAAGAAGCTCGATGTTTGGGTGCCACACCAATTAACAGAAAAAAACATGATGGATCGAATTTCCATCTGCGAAGCCTTGGCCAAACGGAATGAGATAGACCCATTTCTTAAACGGATGGTGACTGGAGATGAGAAATGGATCACATACGATAACCCTGTGCGAAAACGATCGTGGTCAAAGAGCGGTGAAGCACCTCAAACGGCCAGGAAGGTTTTGCTATGCATTTGGTGGGACTGGAAGGGGCTTATTTATTATGAGTTGCTTCCATATGGCGAAACGCAAAATTCGGATCTCTACTGTCAACAACTGGACCGTTTGAAGATAGCGATTGACCAGAAACGGCCAGAATTGGCCAGCAGGAGAGGTGTCGTGTTCCACCAGGACAACGCTAGGCCACACACATCTACAGTGACTCGCCAGAAACTTCGGGAGCTTGGTTGGGAAGTTTTAATGCATCCGCCATACGATCCGGACTTAGCACCAAGCGATTATCATCTTTTTCTTGCATTGCAAAATTTCTTTAATGATAAAAAATTGGAATCTAGGGAGGATTGTGAAAATCGACTACTAGAGTTTTTTGCAAATAGAGACCAGGACTTCTATGAGAGAGGCATTTTGAAGTTACCTTTAAAATGGCAACAAATCATACAACAAAACGGCGCATATTTCACCCAAATCGGACAATCCGAAGCATGTTAAATAAAGTCCTGAAGTTCATATAAAAATAATGGATTTCTTTTTCCCCAAACAAATATATATATATATATATATATATATATATATATATATGTACATGTATATATATATACATTTTTTTAACTCTGCAATACGGCATCTAAGCTACTAATAAAGCGTTTTTATGCATCATCAGAGGGATATGAAGGTCAACTAACATGTGTTTTGCCTTTGGGCATCAAAATTGAGAATACTTTCACTGTTATTGGAATATAGCTTACAACAAACGTAGTTTTCATTGACTTTGCGTAAGCTTATAGAATAATAATAGAAAAAACTATGACACATGACTCCTAAAAAAAATTCCATTCTTCGCGATTTCAAAGTTTCACGTTTTGAATAGTTTAAAATGTGGTAAAGAGTAACAACATTCAATTTCGGTAAATTGGCTATTGAGTTAAACGTTAAAAACGTATACAAGCCTGCATGGACACACATTCGCCTTTAGCAAGTTCCGTCTACTATTCTTAAATTTGAATATTAACTATAATTCTTTCAGTTATCGATATTATAGTACTAGGGTGTTGCTTCGTGAAGCGTGAACGCAGTTGCGAATGTAAGTAAGTAAGTTGCTGGACGGATAGACAATTGTGGCTAGATTTTGACCCATTTACGTATGTATTACAAAAAAAAAATAAGAAGCAATTTGAAATTTTATGGCCAGGCAAGAAAGGATCCATTAAATATGCATACACACATTATATATATATTAATGTCATTGAAGATGAGCATGTCTTATATCGTGGTTAATGGTCTTTTACGATAAGTGATGTAGGTCTTAATAAAGAGTATTTTTCATATCTTGCCGAAGGGAATATAAATTTAATGAATGGAAAGCAGTTTAAGTTTACCTTTCGCCGTTCAACCTACTTTTCATGCGTAACGTAACTATGCGTCAATCAATTTTATGGCAGAGGCATAGAAAAATATGTTGAATTTCAACTAAAATTTTATTGATTTATATTAAAAGTGCTTGGGTAAGAAAATTATTCAAAAAAATGAACCATAGAATGAATATTCACATTAACGAAGTTATAACAAGAATAAAAGTTAAAAAGAGAGCAAAACGATTTTTACCCCCCAGACATATGGTATTGAATTGAGTCAATAAAACTGAGTGAAGAAACAGTGAAGCAAAAAACAAAAAATTTAATTTTTTTTTTTTCAGTAATAAACAATTTTTCGAATAAGAGTGGTACGAATTCTTTTGAATGAATTTAAATGAGTCGCATGGCTCCCATGGCGAATCCGTTGAATCTAATTTACAAACGTTTTCTTCTTCACTAAATCCGATATAACGTCGTTGAAGTGATCTTCAATATATCATTAGAATCTAGTTTCTTGCTAAAGAGCAATGATTTCAGGTAATCCGGCAAGCGGTAGACCAAAGATATTAAGTCAAAGTCTCTTGATATTGAAATTTGTTGAAATTGTTGCTTCACCAAATTGTCGCTGCACGCTGAGCTTTTCCACATGTTATATGATACGAGGCGTGGTCACTTTACCACCACAAAGAAACGAATCAGCAACATTTTTCACCAATATTTAGGAATGCGAGCTCAAATGTTGTTATTGTAATGCATCGCGATATATATATATATATACATATATATGACATTCACAGGTTTACGATGCTTTCAATTTTTTATTTTTTTTTTTTTTTCAGGTAAACCTGATTAATTTAATGAATTTCTATTCTATATATATATATATATATATGGTTTTAACAATATTTTTTAGAGCCTCCCTTACGTTTGATTGATGAACAAGAGCGGGATGTCGGAGATCGTTATTATAAAACTGGGAGTACCATCGACTTGCAATGTCAAGTGTCACGTAGCTTTTTATACAAAGAAAATCAAAACATCCTGAAATCTTTAATGCCTTTGAATGCTAATTTAAGCTCCTTTGCCGACATAAATCAAATAATCAAAACGAATAAAGACAAAAGCAATTTGAGCGATACGAAGATTGGAAGCGCCCTAAATGCATTAACGTCAAGTACAAATCAGAGTGACAAACAGGAACTCAGTGCGGAGAAACTGTTTAGTAATATAGTGTTTTGGGCTAAAGATGATGAGGAGCTACCGACCACAGCGCTCAGACGTATCAGGTAAATTATATTTTCGTTTATTTAAAATCACTTATATATTAAAAAATTAAAAATTATATCTACACTAATAGAAAAATATCGGTATCTAACTGATAATTATCAAGTTTTTTTTAGATGTTATTTAACTTGAAAGGAAGAAAATTTATTAACGCAAATCATTGTAGTTAGATAAGAAAGAAATTTCCCCCGCTCTCGCAATTCTCTCAGCTTTTGGAACGAATAGGGAGAGTAAAATAAAAAACCCTTAAGGAAACGTCATAGATGGGTCCAAACAGGGGACGACAATACCTGTCAGAGGCTCCATGAAAATGGATGAGTAAACTCTTGATGATGGCGTGAATAAAGCGATTTATTTATGCGAGTACCATTCGTCGAACTATCAGTTAAAGTCACGATTGCCTTCTTTTGTAGTCTGATTAAAATCAATTACTTGCATCCACACACAGACACACTATTATCAGATATCTATAGTGCTATAGTTATTTTTGTCTAATTTTTCATAACATTAAACAGTTTACTCTTATAGCATATGTCGAATGCATTTATTACATTGAAAATAATATAACCTAAGAAAAATAGCTTACACATGAAGCTGTAAGCTGTGTTATCTGCCGTCTATATTATGTTGGATTTGTGAAAACAAATGCTCTCAGCTGGCCCGTACACTGCTGCCATACAACTATATATATATATATATACATATATTTCTCTCATGAAAGATGTTTCCTATAATTTCGACAAAACGCAAGTAGATGGTGGGAAGAAAAACGTCGTAAAGATCGAACTAAATGTCACAAGAAGGCCATGTATATACAATAATTAGAATTTTGTTACGTCATTACGTAGAAATACGAAAGGCACATAAGTGATAAATATGGAAAGCGCTTGCATAGGCTCGTTCCGATTATCATTTGTTTGCATTGATATGAGAATTGTCTGATGAATGGTTCGCGGCAAAGAGAAGAGATTTTCGTTAACGTGATATACACGCGATATATTCATGTGAAGAATATCTAAAATTAGCGATCTAGCATTATTTTGAATAAACTAATTTTTATTACTCTTCGGAAGTTTACGACAAACGCAATTTGAAATATCAACAAGTAAGAAAATTATATTCGGCTGCAAACGAGTCGTTTATACCCGTCACGGTTAGAATATAAAAAATTGGAAAAGAGAAAAAAATATTTATTGCATATCGCATAATATTGGATGGGCGTGTCTGTTTGTTGATATATTTGTAAAACAAAATTGATTGTAGTTTATGAGCGATGAGCAAAGGATACGGGAAGCAAATGTGTTCTCAGTTTTTGTTGCCTAGACTTGTATGCACTCAAGGAATGTCCTTTGAAAAGTTTAGGTGATTTTCAAATTCTTTTGCAAAGTTTTTAGGCGATATCTTCATTTGAGAGAAGTCTACTAATCGATTCAGTGCCGTCTGTCCATCTGTCCGTCCCTCGGTCTTGTATTCTTGTTCTCAACCTAAATGTCGTAATTTTTTTTTGATATTTTGATGAAATTTGGCATATGGAACTAAATTGGAACGCACTTGTGATTTTGAAAAATCGTTATATATATATAAGTGTTAAGCGAGGCAGTGTAGAATAGATAATCACGACCCATTGTCCACTATAGTGTTTTTACTTTAATGTAAGGTAAAAACAGCAAGTTATTTTGATTGTTGTGTAAAACTTATATATAGATATAAGGAAATATTCGTGCATAATTCCTTAAGCGACCTGAGTGAGTGAGATAGCTCCTTCGCCCAATCAATTTTCCGCTTTATATTATTATCTATTTTGTTGTAATTTTTTTATTGTTGCATACATGAGTCTCGGTTTGAGAACCTATTATTTAGTTGACCCTGAGCAGCCATGACAATAACAACATCAAAATACTCAGGCACATTCATGACAAATTCTTACATCGTCAATAAGCATCGAAGTGCACATTTATCACCAAACTGATGCAAATATGCCAAAACTTGGCAATCCGTTTTGTTTAAACACGTCACATTTGCTGACAGCCATACGCGACATTGTTAGTTCATTATTGTTGTTTGAAGATCATTGAAAGAACCCTACATGGGGTAAACAATTCACAACTAGGTCTATAGTAAATGGATATCGTTTTATGAAACAGATGAATATAAATAGTAATAAAGTTAATTTCATTTAGCAAAGTTGTCGCATCTAAAAAGCCATTTATCAAATTTATTAAAAAATTTCTTAATTGAGATAATAACGATCTGTTTCTATCCTACAATGAATTCCTTAACGCAAACAAATAAGAATTATTTTTGCAATGATATAATAATTGATTCTCCTTGATGACCATAGCATATATACCACACTTTGCGGAAGCGTATTATCATCCTGCTAAGTTCAACCTAAATCGTTTTATGAAAACAAGTTGAAATGTTATAATCGGCAAAGCTAAACTATTCGCCGGTTTATTTTTTAATGAATCAGGGGATGTCCCCTACTCGCCCAATACGACGACGGCTAGAAAGACGAGAGGAAAGAGAACAACATAGGCAGGTGATCACAGTCTTTGCCCCCAGTCAATGAGTTTTATGCATTTATCGACTGAGCTCACTTATTATAGCTGCGAACAAAGTAATCTCCACCGCACTAAGATTCGAACCCGTGAACCCAACTCAACTACCCGACTACTGTTGCGAACAAGATGGTTAAGCAGTTAACTGTGCACGACGAATATATAGATCATGCCATGATCCGCCCATCCGTTCTATGCGGATTTCCTTAATAATAATGTATTTAAGCATATATGTATGTCGTTCAAATTATTTCATTACAACCTAACTTCATATTACACGTACTCTTTTATATGAAGGTATAGTCGTCATCGCTTAATTTTTGTGATGCAATTGAAACGCATAATTTCCAAAGGGAACCATATAGTTAACTGGTTAAATGCTCAGCATTGCTGCATCGATTAGAAATTTTCAGTTACCCGCATCATAAAATATCAAAAATATTATCTTTTGTTGCCATATAAAGGTTTATTTCTCATAAACATACATTACATAATATGCTGATATCGGGAAACTAAACTTATGTAGACCATACTTACGCACGCAGTAAATTTATACGCGAACGCATAATTTTAAACCAATTTCCACTCTAAAGTACTGAAAATTAGATATGATTTGCCATACAAAGGCTATTTTTTTTTTTTTTTTTTTTTTTTTTTTTTTACAAAAAATTTCAATTAGAGATGATTACAAAGACACTATTTATTCCTTTTTTCGCATGCATGGTGCATGCACAACGTGGTCACCGAAACGTCAAAAACATTAGTTCGGCCATTGCGTTTGTGATCTCTACAAAACAAACGCAGAAAGGGAAAACATATACTCTGGGTCAGTACGCGGTTGTTTGTATTGTTAGAGTTCTCACATGTACGGACTCGGATAGGAAATTAAGATTTCTCACATCAGTTCTTAATTACGTAGTTTTCAAAATGAGTTTAAGTCTTCAAAATGTAAATCTTAAGGCACTGCCTTTAATATGATTACCGAATACCGATTTCTGTTATTGCTGTCTAGGAGGGCCTTAAGGTTGAGACACTTCATTGACACTTCATGAATTCGGTTTAGATGATGCGTACCCAATATCCGGCACAAGACGAATGCAACTTATGTTAGCTCGAATTTCGTTGCATATTTGGCGATAAGTTAGTGACAGTATTTCGTTTATAACCCAAAAGCTTTTCTTTTTGTCATAGAAGTTCAGTGATTTGAAAAAATATCCTTTATGAAAAGTTATGTAGTGATTTCTTAGTTCGTCCGAGAGTGATGGTTTGCAAAAGAAAAGGTAGAAAAAGAAGCTGTCCAAGAGACCCGGCTGGGAAGCTACATTTCACTATCTAGGTTTCAATATCTTTATGTATTTGAAAGAAGCGTACATAAGAAGAGATTTACTGCTCTAAAGAGACTTTCGTATTTGTCTACCATTAACTTTACTTTACGGTAGGCGAGATCGTTAGATTATAAAAACGTAGCTGCAACAAATGAATTAGAAGATAAGCAATAGCTAGCTGGACTTTAATCATGATGCTTAAGTAAATGAAACCGATAATATCCAATCAAAGCTTGCGAGCCTTCTACGGTCTCTTCATTTAAAAAACCATTAAATATCCTTACATACGATTCTTATGCTTGTGTTGTTGAGTACTTAGTGCTTAGATATATGCTTTGTTCAGTCGAAAGTAAATATTTGCAATTCTCTTAAAAGACAGTATTAATGTATTTATTACTTTAACAGCACTTATAGCAATCGGACAGTTTATCCTTTTGCTATAATACTTGTGTTTAATTTATGTCATTGTGATTTGACAGTTTAAGCGTGTAACATTTATTTGAGTTTTCCATTTATTTTACTTTATTAACATTTTAGTTAGTTACTTATTAAGTTGCGAATGCACTCAAATTATATATATATTAATATATAGTTATACAATTATTAATACCTACAATGGAATAGGGATAGGGATTTTATGAAGACTACATTTCGGCCCCATAATTACATGCATATTAGGTATACAAATAAATTCTCGGTTTTATTTCATAAAATTCTAATTTAACTGAAAATTACTTTTACTCGTCTTTTGCACTCAACAGAAATCTTTTGTGAGCAGGTGATCTGAAGCAGTTGCGCAATTGCGACAAATGTCTCATCCCAAGTTGAAAATGATTTTCTAAATTGCTTTTGCTAGACACGAACATACGTACAACAATATTGATCATTCTCAAGACTACATTTTTTTTTTGCACGAAATATCGCAAACCATTTTCCAACTATTATATATCAAAGGTTATTGCAACAGTCATTGCATTGCATCCAAGCCAACTTAATCGTTTCCGTAACTTTAAGTGCATTTTTCTTTTTTTGTTTGCATTTTAAAATAGAATAAAATGTATGTTACACTTTAATATACACTGGGCATCAGTTTTTAAACAATTGAAACTTTGTGCC